ATGTTCATGAGAAAATCATTTGACTGGAAAATAATTTCACGTTCTTGATTTCAAACAAAAAACATGATTCTTATTGTAAATCAAGACTCATAGTCGGTGTTTTCTTCTTTATAAAATTAAAGATTGCGCAATTCTCAAGACTCCAAGAAAAAGGCGGCGTGGAAGTGCAAACGGATGAATTGAGTTTTAAAACACAAGCTGAGAATTAAAAAGCGAAAATAACGAACTTAGACTTGATAGCTGCTCCGAGAAGTGTGATGACGTTGGAATCGGCCACAAGGTGTTCTAGACGGGGCGGAAGTTCTTCCCATTGGAGAAGCTCCAGACGATTCCGCGACACATCCAGCCGTCGTACGGCAGATGCTTGGGACAAAGCATCGGCCAAGGATCCTAAAGAGAATTAACAATAACTAGAATTCTGCAGGAAACTGAAGATTTCAAAGTCTTACCTAAGCGGTTGTCGGACAGATCTATTCGCTTCAAAAGCGGGCATTTAGCCAGAGAATCATGGAACAGCTGTGAGATATGGTTGTGCGACAGATTCAGTGTGGTCAAGTACGCACAATCAGAGAACACATAGGGGCTGACCTGGAAAAAAATATTTATTTTGATTATTCGTCCCCCGCCTTGAAGAGCCAAAAGCTGGCCAAAACCACACACGTCGCACACGTTGTAGCGTAATTTAATAGAGCGGATTTTTTTCTGCAAGAGCGCTGAACGTACCGATGGCAACTCGTTATGGCTGAGGTCGATGGTGTGCAGATGGGCGATTTTGTTGAAGATAAATTGATGCAGTTTTCTGAAAAATAAATTGTTTGTTTGTACCCTTGTTCTTTGGAAGCTCAATGTTTGCGGATTCTCTAAGACCAGTGAGACTTTTCCCAAGGGAAATGCCGAATTCTAAGAATCTGACATATGCCATAGCGTTTCCTGCTTCTTGGAAAGCTCATTGGTATAACTAGTACATCACATAAAACGTACTTTATCTTGTTGTGGCTGAGATCGACCTTTTTGAGCTTGAATAATCGTCCTATGGCTAGCGGAACTTCGGTGAGACGATTGTGCGACAAATCGACATCACCTGCAAAGATATTATCCCAAAAATGTACATAAGATGTCTGCACACAGTCAGTAGTCTTTTTCTTTGCTTCCTCGAAAAAACGGTTTTTTTCACTGCAAAATCACGCAAGTTCTGCAAAATTATGGGGTTCTCCGTATAAGAAAATAGAAAGTAAAAAATTTACCCAATGCCAAATCAGCAAAAGCAGCCGGTTCCAATGTTTCGATAGAATTGTTAGACACTCGTAGAGTTGATAACTCGCTCAGCCCAGCAAAGATATCATTTCGCAGACTCTCCAGTCGATTTGAAGCAATATTTAGCTGAAACATACATGAATTACTGATTGATAACATTAATACTCAATATTTCGTAGTCACAATTATTTTGTTACCCCTATAAAATTTGATTATTCTATCACAATCTAGCACAAACTCATCGAATCTATGTTTTCTTTGTCAATGCTTATTCCGGTACCTTCAGTGTTTTTCGATTTTGAACTTGATGAAATTCTTATTGTTTTTTAGCTTCTGCCCAGTTGTGCGGTATCGTTTGTTCTAGGTTATGTCTTACCACTTTTGTGCATACCTTAGAACGTATGGAATTCTAATAGATAGTTTATCTCGCGTTCAGCTTCTTTTCTGCAAATCTGCGAGAAATGCCGGACTTGCGACGATGTTTGCACCCCGTCACTCAGCCGCGTGTGGTCAAGCGATTATGCAACTCCCCGGCTGTTATGAGGGGGTTTCGCGACAAAATGCAAACAAGCCGGGAAGAAAGGCGTTGTTTGGTCATGATGTACTCGAAGAGCAAGTACATACTTGTGGTCATCAAGGTCCCTCAGCGAGTGGGACCAGTTCAAGGTGATCCACCCATCCAGAGTTTAAGGAGCGATTTCCGTACCCCTCTCAATAACTCATTTCGTCCTAATTGCAGGTTCCCCGCAGTGGGTGAGGGTGGCAACTTGACCTGCTCTCCTCCAGACGCGCATAGTGTCCATTTCCATTATTCCCGAGCGATGAGCCAGTAGCGAAACAATACTAAATACGACTCAGAGTCAAGGAGGTCACATTCACCCCTCATCGCCCTACACGCAAAGAACCAACGCAAACAAACAAAACTCGCGTGCTGGTGGTGGTGGATAAGAGAAAGTACACACGCGATGCGAAAAAGCAGATGATTCCTGGTGGTATGTAATCCTTTCATGCTACATGGCGCAATGTAGGAAACAAAAGAAATCGAGAGAGATGTAGCAAGCGCCGATGCACC